TAATCATATAATAAAAAAATTAGATGTTTTCTTATATGTGTTTTGATTTTTTTTCAAAAGGACCATAAATTATTAAAAATGGTAAAAATCTCACATTTAAAAATTTTGTGATTAATGGTAACGTTTTTTACTTCAGCCAATCGTTTTTTAATGAATATTACACAATTTTTAATGATTAACTAAATGGATCATGTAAATGAGTGTGATTTGGTTTAAAAATGGTTGCCTACCCAAAATCAATATTATCATCATTCTTTTCGTTTAAATTTTGTTACAATAAAAAATATAAGGTTGGGCAAAAAAATTGAATCCAAATAACCGAACCAAATATAATCCACAAAGTAGTACAGATCTTTAACCAAAATTAGTTAGATATCCATATGTTTATTCTTCATGTATGTTACAACATGTACTAATACAAGTTATTTTCGTAACCAGTTATGCATACAATCGATATATATTTTTTTTGGCAACAAAAGACTGATATATTGCTCAAGCTTGAGGTGGTCTGGGAATCCAGACCGAAATAGAACAACCAACATACATCAGCTCTCGATAAAAGGTTCGAGCAATCTTAGCTAAAGAATCAGATGTAACATTTTGAGACCTAGGAACATAGAATATCTTGAAATCTGGGAAGCAAATCCGCAAAGTCAAGAGCCTCTCCAATTCTGTCGAGAAGCTTGGCCAATCATGTGGGTTACTGAGCATCACTATCAAATCCTTGCAATCCGTCCCAAAGCTCTGACATGGCGAATGTTGAAGCATATTCTCCATTGCCCATCGCAGTGCTTCCAGCTCAGAGTGCAAAGCCGACTCCACCCTACTAACATTGCCCATCCCCATCAAGTGATTATTTTCCATGCTGTCCTTCCAGACCCACCCGCAACAAGTGAACTGATCTGTAGAGGTCCAAGAACCGTCTACCATACATATATCTTTCAAGCTTATGACCTGGCTTACAACATCTATGTTTCCTTGTGATGACGCGTTGTCCTGCTCATTGGCTTGGAACCAGGCAAGACATTCACTCTCCGCATACCTGGCTAGTTCCAGAGGATCTCTATCGATTCCTCGGAACAGCTTATCGTTCCGAGCCTTCCAAATATACCATATTGGCCAAGGGTAAGGGTCCCTATCTAATTCCGGTTCCATAATGGCCTTCTTCCTCCAAAATAGATAATCCATGTTTGCATATGTGCTCTGCAGTGGGAAAATGTTTGAGTTGGTAGGTATCGATGCTAATGCCCAAACCTGCAATGCAGGTGGACACAAAAATATTGCATGTGCAACTATTTCTTCCGGCTCGCCACATCGTAGACAGACGTTGTCACATCTCATGTGTCTATGGTTCAGAGCACTTGTAACTGCCACATGACCTATTATAATCTGCCACATAAGATGACACATCTTTTGGGGTGCTTTAACCTTCCAGACCTGTGCTTGAAGTTTTGTAATACTAGGTTCGCCCACTATATTATCTTCCTCCTTCATCAATATGTTCCGTGCTACCCAATATCCAGACTTCACTGTGTACTGTCCACTCCTTGTGTAACTCCAACAATGTGTGTCTCCGCGATGTGTTGAGCTAATAGCCATACTCCTTATGAGAGGTATGTCAGTCGCATCAACATAATTCCCCAGCCCCTCTAGATCCCAAGACTTTGTTTCTTGATTAATAAGATCACTCACTCTCATATTCAGATGCAAAACCGGAGCAGATGGCAATGCTGGCCTCGCTGGGATTGTGGGAATCCAAGGGTCTTCCCATACTTTCACCTCATAGCCTGAATGTATCTTCTGTCTTATTCCCAGCAATAATAGTTCTCGTGCAGCTGAGATACTTGTCCACACATACGATGGATTAGTGACAGTGAGTTGACGCAAAGGCAAACTCAACCGATAATAATGACCTCTCATAACTCTAGCTACCAGGGAATCTGGATTTTGAGCCAATCTCCACAACTGCTTTGCTAACAATGCCAGGTTCAACTCATGAATCATCCTGAACCCGATTCCTCCTTCCTCTTTAGATAAACATAATTTGTCCCATGTTGACCAGTGTAAGCCTCTTTTTGGTGGGTTCGAACTCCACCAGAATTGTGCAATGGCACTAGCTAAGGCATCACATATCTCCAATGGAAGTAGGAAGCAGGACATTACATAGGTTGGGAGGGCTAGCAGGATATACTTTATCATTACTTCCTTTCCCCCTCTTGATAACCACTTACCCGTCCATCCATTTACTCTGTTCCTGAGCTTGTCCTTTAGGAAGGCAAAAAACTTGCATTTGGATCCGCTGATATCTTCTGGAATCCCTAAATAATTTCCCATTCCTCCTTCATTTTGAATCCCGAGTGTGTCTTTAATCTCTTGCCTAATCTCGTGTCCGATTCTCTTACCGAAGAGTAGAGATGACTTGTCAAAATTAATGCATTGTCCAGACGCTTGTCCATATTTCCTGACCACTTTCATTACTTCTTCACATTCACGGGGCTACGCCTTACAAAAGAAAAGGCTATCATCAGAAAAAAGTAGGTGAGATATCGAAGGACACGCACGCGTGATGCGCATCCCTGTTATCTTTCCCTGATTCTCTGCATGATTAGAAAGGCTAAAGAGCGCTTCCGTGCATAGAATAAAAATGAAAGGGGATAGAGGATTCCCTTGTCTTAGACCTCTCTCTGGAATAATATTTCCTCTTGGTTGAACATTCATAAGGACCTTATATTTTACTGAAGTAACACATCGCATTATCGATGTTATCCAGATTTCCGAAAAATCCATCTTCCTCATAGTAGCCTCAATAAAGGACCACTCCATGCGATCATATGCTTTGCTCATGTCTGTTTTAATTGTCATCCTCTTATTGCGTCCACTTGGCTTGGTCCTTAAAGCATGGAACATTTCCTGAGCAATCATAATATTGTTAGAAATCTGTCTCCCAGCGACAAAGGCAGATTGGGTTTCTGATATCCGATCGGGTAGAACCTTTTTCAGTCTCTGGCATAGGACCTTAGAGATTATCTTGTAGCTAACATTGCATAAACTGATGGGCTGGAGCTGGCTCATCTGGTCCGGCTTATCTACTTTCGGGATGAGACATATATTGGTGTCATTTAGACCAGTAGGCAGCGTTCCTTCAAACAAGAATTGATTAACCATAAGAGTTAGATCATCCTTTACAATATCCCAAAATTTCTGGTAGAAGAGCGTTGTCATTCCATCTGGTCCTTGAGCCTTCTCTGGGTGCATCGCGAAAAGAGCCAATTTGACCTCCCATTCAGTAACAGGAGCTGTAAGGTTGTCATTGTCTGCAGATGTAATAGTTGTAAACACCTCAGATAGTGCCTCCTCTATATCCTCAAGGTTTGAGGATTGAAAAATATGTCTAAAATAACTTGTAGCAATGGCTACAAGTCTTTCCTCGTCCTCGACAATATTCCCATCTGTATCCTGCAATTGTGTAATCCTGTTCCGCGCTCTCCTTTGCTTCGTGAGGACATGAAAAAATTTAGTGTTTCTATCTCCTTCCCTTAACCAAAATACCCTACATTTCTGCTTCTAAAACATCTCTTCCGCCTTAAGAGCATCAGAGAGTTCCTTTAAAGCTAACGCAATCTCTTCTGTGGTGGCGTCATCATTTGAAGATAGCTTATCAACCTTTTCTTTCAATTCCTCCACAGTGTTTTCCGAATTCAGATTATGTTGCCTTTTCCAGTCACATAAGGCTCTCCTGCAACTAGCAATATGGTCCATGATACTTGCACCCGGTGGAAGATCAAGTGATTTCCACCCCTCAAGTATAATTTGTCCGAGTTCTTCATTCTCCAGCCATCTCTTATCAAATTTGAAATTCTTTGTTCTTCTAGGTTTTTCCTTAGAATATCAGCGAGGATCGGAAGGTGATCCGATCCCCAAAGCCTCATATACTGCACTTTGGAATGAGGGAATTTCTCATGCCAGTCCTCATTCCCAACCGCTCTGTCTAGACGACATCTAACCGTAGCATTCCCTGCCCTTTTCCTACCCATGATAGCATGTTTCCTTTAAAGGGAAAATCTATCATACCACAATCGCTCAGCATTTGCTTGAAGGGCAAAAAAGAGCTGTCAGTTCGTTGTCTTCCTCCTACCTTCTCCTCATGGCAGGTGATTTCATTAAAGTCACCTATCATAAACAAAGGTCCATTTCTTGTTGTTGAGAAACGCGTAAGACGTTCCCAGACTAAATCTCTGCGTTCTAAAATAGGATCCCCATAAACAAATGTCATATAGACTTTTATTCCATCAATGACTGCCTCAATGTTAATCATTCTGTTATTAGAAAATAAAACCTTAACATGAAATTCATCCATAAAAAATAAAGCTAAACCTCCGCTGAGTCCAAGTGGCTCAACGGTAAACAAACGATCAAATCCTAAGTCGGCCTGAATGTCTTGCAACAGCAGCCTCCTATTCTTTGTCTCAGAAAGAAACACAAGTCCTGGGCGATGCTTCTGACACATCTCCGTAAGGCGTCGAACTGTGAGGTTGATTCCAATCCCTCGACAGTTCCAGCTGAGTGTCTTCATGGATGAAGGGGGGATGAGTTTTTGGATCCCATCAAATCACCCTCCTTTTTTGAACGAACAAAGTTTTTCTGGCTACCATGGTGAGACTGACGTGACTTAGTCTTCTCTCCATTTGGCTTATTCGACGATGATATAACTGATCGTAAGCGTGGAGAACCACTACGATGGAACTCTGCCTTGTTTCTTTGGATCCCCAATGGAGGATTCCTTCTGGAACCTGACCGTGAACTCCTTGACGCCTTAGCATCTTCTTTACACGTTGTGGCGCCTGCGGCCACACTAGTCCTCGAGTTGGCTTCCAACTCCCTCAGTTCCTCATCGAAGAGATCGTCCTCAGCATCGAGACCAGTATCTACTTACATGCCACTAAGAGCTTCAATGACATGATCATCCCCATTTGCATTAGTTGAGTTTTGTGGTGAGAAAGTCAAAGACTTCGCCACACTCTTGTTACGTAAAGTGACGTTGTCACCCTTAACGTAGGATTGCTTCTGGAGACAATGACACTGGCCAATCTAGTCCCCATTAGCGCATCTCCCTCTTTCAGGTTCTCCAAGTCATGTTGATGAGAATCTCCATATGCTCGCTTGCTGCTTCCTTGCTTTTGTTCATAAGAAACAATAGCACAATTATCTCCAGTAGCTCCCTTCTCACTTCCTGCCGTCAAGTTGTCCTCGTGGGTGTTACTCTGTTTCTTAGCTTGACATTCCACATTCTGATTACGAGCATACGGCTCATATCGAGATTTGTTATGGCGATTACTCCTCCCTCTAGATTCCCAAGCTCGGACATTACGAGCAGAGCGTGAGTGATCATACTTATTATCTCTCATGTACCGATAATGATGTGAGTCTGCATCCTTGAGTCTTCCTCGATGCTCCTTCTCCATCCGATCATAATGTCTAGAATGTATTTCAACATGATTTGTTTGCTTTGTCGTGTCCAATCTAGACGAACCAAGCAAAGGATTGTGTTCATTACCAACCACCTTATCACGACCAAGGTGGGAGTTGCGTTGATCATAAGACAAGGATCCATGACCAGATTAACGTGGAAGCTGAACCCGAGCAAAAACATCTCCTCTCTCTCGTGGAATAGTAGGAGCAGTAACCAAAGTCGGACAGTACCCCTTCTCGTGTGTCATTAAGCCGCAAGTAGTACAGTGCTTAAATAACAAATCATATTTGATTTCTATGGTAACTTCATCCCCCTCTGGGCTCTGAACCTTCCTTTTAAACTTCAAAGGCTTCCTAGAATCAATATCAATCAACAACCGTCCCTCCGAAAGATCAATGGTATCAACACGCCCAAGTCGATCACCTATTTCTCTTAAGTTTCTGTCTGTCCATAGATGCAGTGGCATACCAACAAACTGAACCCAGAATGGTATGATCCATGGATAATCGTCGTGTACAATTGGTTCCCAACGCACCAAAACAAACATACAAAAATTGTAATGGAAGGGCCCTTTTCGAAGTACGGAGTTGAGATCATCCTCCGATGAGAAGTTAAAGAGAAACTTCCCATTTCCCAAGTCATTCGCTGTGATACGGTCTTCCATACCCCATTGACCTGGCATTGTCTGAACAAGCTTTCTACCGATTGCTTTTTAGGATTGAGGATTTTCCCAATCAAAGACATTCGATACTCTTTGATGACAAAGGAGTCATCTTGTTCAGTGAGCTTAATTGGCTCGTCATCGTCCTCATACAAGATCCCTTTACCTTTTATATCTGCCATATGAGCCGATATGACACGAGTTGAGGACCGCATAGCACCTCTCACGTAAGGTCAGAAGCACCAAAACAGAACAAGATTCAGAACTCGCAGACAAGAGTCACTGTAATATGTGAGTTCCTAAGGTATAATCCAGACCACTGAGATCGAGCAAGGATCAAACCCCAAAACAAAACTGTCCCAACGTAAGATCAGGACAAAAACGTAAGGTGGTGTGGTGAAACAGAAACGAAGGCCGTCGTGAAAGCTATTGCGTGTGGGGGACGTAAGCAAAACGCTGAAACCGGAGATCGTGATCCAAAGGATGAATCTCAGGGACTGTAAATCAAGGAATCCTTGCATCCATAACCAGAAGAAAGCGTTGAGGAGCACTGGATACAACGATATCGCAGTGTCCTTTTCAAAAATATCCTCTCCACTGAAATCAAGAGCCGCCGTAACCTCGACGATGATCCAGAGGTTCCGAGCCGGTGATGGAAACAACGAAGATTGATCCGTCAGCCGATCCCCTCCGTGTCCTACCTCCAAGGGATGCAGATCGAAGCTTCAAACTGTCGTGAACGAAGATGCACTCCTTGTCGCCTTCTCCATCCCCGTCAGGGAAATAGGGTTTTACATCTTTTATTAGGGTCCCGCATACAATCGATATTTAGAAACATAACTTTTATCAAGTACACATATTTTTGTGGCTGCAAGAATCAAAGGAGTATAAAATTTCTTAAGGTATTAATAGTTCCATTACCTCAAATTAGATGATAAAAAGCTGATCTATAGTGTTTTCTATTACCTAAACAACTAAGATTATTACCAATTCACGTATATATTCATCTATAAATTTTGTTCTAAAATAGAGAAATTTTATTACATAGGTGGATTTTCTTCAATATATAATTATGTAATATAGTTTCTATATTTTTAGAGAAAAATCTAGAGATGTGTTACTTTTTTTTTACATATAGAGCTGAGAAAAATATTTGTATAAAAATTACATATATTATATAACTTGATGATGAACATATAACTTGATGATGAACATATAACTTGATAATATTTGTATAAAAAATTATAATAGAGTAATATTAAATATATTCTCATTTTAAATTAAAATTTAATTTACAATTATACATATAACCTTTTTAATCAAAGAAGAAAATGAGCTAAATATTTATCTTTACATCAGTTAAGAGAAAATTCATTCCTATTTATTCTTTTTTTTTTTTCAAATTACTTACTTCATAAGTTATTTTTCTTTTACAATTATATCATGCTTAAAATTTCAGTTAACTATCAAATAATTATTTTGGTTAGTATTAAATAACCTTAAAGTTACTATTTTTACAATTCCTATCATTACTATTTTTACAATTTTATTTTGTTAATTAAATAAATATTAATTACTATCATGTGTAATATTAACAAAATGCGTATCACTACTATTTTTACAATTTTATTTTTTAATTAAATAAATATTAATTAGTATTATGTTCATCATCAAGTTATTTTTTTTTAAAAAATATTATCAAATAATTTTTTTCATTTCTCTTTTGGCTACAGCCTAAAACATATGATAATATCTCTTTTGTTTAGTTTTTTAGGAAAAGAAAAACTACTATCAAATATTATTTACGATTTTTCTTATATGATTTCAGAAATGGAAAATTAATATTACATAATCTTTTGCAGTTATACTTTTTTCTAGGATTAGAAAAATAGAATTACTATATAATAATTATTTCAGTTAATATTAACTATTTTAAAAAGTTGCTATTTACAAAAAAGAATTTTTCAATGCCAAGTTTCTATTTTTAAAAGTTGCTATTCTTTTTGTAAGATATGATGTAATAGTAGTTTTCATTTTTGAAATCCTAAAAGAAACTTAAAGAATAATGTTTTAATAATAATTTTCTTTTTCTGAATCTATTTTAAATTTTAATCAAAAATTTATTTTAATTTTGATATATGTCACAATCTTAAATTTTTATTCACATATATCAGAATCATGTTAATTAGTAACTTAGAAGAACCAAACTTTATATAATAATATTTAGTACATATTCATGTTGATTTTAGTTTTTGGTATTTTCTTCCTCATGTTTTGCTGGCAGTAAACTTTTGCAATAAGGATGTTAGATCTCCTCTCTTAAATTTTTGGCTTCACCTTGCAAGGTTATTATATTTGTAAAATTCAAAAAGAGAAGATTTAGTCGTTTTTAATTATATGTAGCATTTTCAATAACAAACTTAGATCAAATCATGTAAAAGAAAAAAAAAAGAAAAAGAAAACTGAAAAAAGAAGAAAGAAGAAAGAGTTGAACTCGATTGATCTATTATAGAGAGATGACTTGAAGTTTTCTTTTCTTTTTTTATGCTGGATAATTATGCTATTACAAACTATGATAAAAATTACAGATGATTTTATAGCCGACTATTCTACATGTCTTATGAGGATTCACGTCTGACTGCATTACTTGAGCCGCTCTATCAGATCCACCCTGGAGGGTACTCCTTACGCTATGTTGCAGATCTCTTATAAACCTTTTCTCCTTTAATTCGCTTAATTTCGCTTTTTCTAGGACTCGAAACCTAGACCTCCTGGTGTAGAAGCATTAATTACTGACTGAGTTACAGGCGCATTTTGATTACTGAGTTATCTCTATTTTGATTTTTTTTTAATTTATAAATGCTTGAGATAAGCTTATGGGCTTATTTGTGTATTAACCAAGAAAAAGTAAAATTAGTTTTATAGAGAGAGGGAAGAGAGATATGGAAAGAGAAAGTTTGAGAAAGAGTGTATTTTTGGTTAGTTTACAAATTTGTGTTGTTTTTGTAGTCAGTCACATAGCTAAATTTCCCTAACTTTTTTTTTTTTACAGTTTACATTGAAATTTGTTGTATAATATTTAAGTTTCACTAATATATTTACACAACAAAAAACATTTAAAAAAATTTACTCATATATGTGCATCGAAGTCATTCATATATGAAGGATTTAAAGATAAGTATGTCTAAATGAATCTTATTATATAAAGCTTGGTTTTTAAAGTTACTAATTAACATGATCGCGACACATGACGATTATATATTTAAGATTATGGCATGTGTTAAATAAATTTTTTTCTTTTTAGAACTTAAACCATAAGAATTTAATAGTTAGTTTTACTTTTTAAAAAATCTTAAACATAAACTTTAAAAAAGCTAGTTTCCCTTTTTCAAACAATCTTAAACAAAAACTGTAAGAATTATATTTCCACATAAATAATATATATTTTTAAAGTTACTAATTAAGATAATTATGAAACATGGAAATTATATATTTATTGACATGTGTTAAACAACAGGTTATATATTTTTTTTTTAAAAAAAAACTTAAACCCAAAGAATATAAAAACAATCCAAGAAGTTAACTTTCTTTTTTTTAAAAAAAAATTCTTATTCAACAATATTTGTTAATATTTCCATATAAATAAATTTTTAACAATGGTATTCTTTTTTAAAATATGGGTTAAAGATAATTACAAGCTTGGTTTTTCAAAGTTGCTAATTAATATGACTACGATACATGACAATTATATATTTAAGATTATGATATGTGTTAAATAACAGTTTATATTTGAAAAAAACTAAACCAAAAGAATACAAAGAATAATCTAAAAAGATAAATTTCCTTTTTAAATTTCTTAAAAAAAGAACATTTTTTAATATTTCCATATAAATTTTTTTTTAACAATAGCATTTCTTTTTTAAAACATGGTCTAAGATAATTAACACTAATAATTATTTAAGATAAATTTCTATACAAATTAAAATATTTGCACAATATTTTTCTTATAAATATTTAATAGTATTTTTTCTGTTAAAAATATTGAACCAAAGAGAATTGTAATATTTTAGATGAATATTGCCAAACGTGAATACATGTAAAGAAGGTAGAAGTGTTGGATATAGAAACTTCTATTTTTTTTAATATTTTCATATAAATAAAATTTTAGCAATAGTTTTTCTTTTTTAAAACATGTATTTAAGGTAATTACAAACTTATTTTTCATTTAAAGTTGAAAATTAGCATTATCCTAACACATTACAATTATATATTTAAGATCATGACATGTATTAAATAAAAAAAATCATTTAAAAAAATAAAAAGCAAAAGAATATAAAAATAATCTAAAAATTTATTTTCCCTTTTTAAAACCAAAAAAGAATATTTATTATATTTCTTGTTAAATCTTGACAAAAGATAATTATATAATTAATTAATAAATTTTATTTTTTAAAAAGTTGATGATAAACATAACTAAAGCCAGTTTAACTAACAAAAATTAAATTTTAGAATATGTAGAGATATTATAAATCAAATCGGAAAAATTCCACTTTTACAAAATATTTGATATTTACTGAATAATTATTTACTAATATTTTATTTTAAAATCCTAATTAAATTAATATTTCATATAAATGAAATTTTAACAATAGTTTTTATTTTTTAAAACATGGGTTTAAGGTAATTACAAACTTAGTTTTTTAAAGTTGCTAATTAACATGATCCTGACACCTTACAATTATATATTTAAGATCATGGTATGTATTAAATAGCAGTTTTTCATTTAAAAAAAAACATAAACAAAAAGAATATAAAAATAATCTAAAAAGTTAATTTTCTTTTTTATAACCAAAAGAGAAATTTTATTGTATTTCTTTAAATCCTGACAAAAGATAATTATATAATTTAATTAATTAATATTTTTTATTCTTAAGAAGTTGATGATAAACATAATACTAAAGGCAGTTTAACTATCAAAAATATATTGTAAAATATGTAGAGATATTAAAAAATGAACAAGAAAATTTCCACTTTTAAAACATTATTTGATATTTACTGAAATAATTATTTACAAATAGTTTACATAAAATGCTAATCAAAATATAAATGTAAAAAATTATGTATATTAATTTTCCTTTTATAAAATCATAAAAAGAAACCGTAAGAAATTTTATTTTTTGGAATAATTATTTTTCTTTTGTAAATCCTAAACAAA